TCTTGGTTTTTCCGTCGTTTTCTCGTGCATTTTGTCCTTCCCTGCATGTGTGGCCCTGTAGGCTCATTCGATATAGCAGTATAGTCCGAAATCTCTATTCCGGATACACAAGTCATAGGCGGTCTCTAGCAAGACACTGTGACTACCTATCTCGAATAGAGTTTGTTTGTGATCTTTACGAACGCCAGAGATGATTTCGTTTGATGATCCTTTTGTATCGCGATATCATATGTCGAACATAAGGCATGGACAAGCCACCTTATCTGATTCGACTGCTTTCTCATTCACTGAGTTCGACTGTCTGAAATAGACGACGTTCGTCTATAGTGCGGTCACACATTTCTACAGTCTCGCTCACACGAGGGGTCCAGCGATATCTCTCTCTTTTACGAGAGGTACAAATCCCGTCTTGACTATCTACAATCCAGCACATGATTCGTTTCGTACCTGATACACGCCTTTATAGTCCTCCTATTACGCAGGACGTTTGACGTATTCAAAGCACGCAACTCCTCATGTTGGATTCCGTAGATATCTCAGGTCTTAGGATCCAATCATGGAACCGCCATATGAGATTCAAGTCATGACGCTAGTCCATGTGACAATCTCATGCGGGTCAATCCAGTATTCCGTTCTTCAACGAATACCTATGACAGTGATCGTATACAATACCTATGATCATCGCTATGATCATCAATCACACATCATACTAGTCTTATTATGTCATCATTTCCATAATGACACAAGACTAGGGAGTTTAGTATCATTCATAATGATACATGGATTTCATAACAAATCTAGTATGCAAGAACATGTAATGAATCAAATACTCTCATAAAACCATAGAAAGTATCAATACATCGAATGTATCTAAAGAAAGCTCATAAACAGTACATCATAGAGCACTAAACCAACAATATGCACATGCTATCTTGTACCACTTATGTAGCACTTTATCAATATACTCCACAACTTTAAGAAACCTGCACAACAAGATATGCACATTAGATTTGGGTCACATGGGTCACAAGTCACACAGGTCACATGGGTCATAAATCACAAATAACATCATATATGGTTTCAAATCACAAAGAACACGATTCTATGTGAATCCCCACTGATTTCCATGATTTTTGAAGGTTTTCCGCATACTGTCGAAGAGAGAACAAGCAAATCGGAGGAGAAAAGAAACAAATCGAAGGAAAGAGAGAGATAGCAAATCTAAAGGGAGAACAAGCAAATCGAAGAAGAGACGAAGCAAATCAGAGGAGAGAGATGGCAAATCTGAAGAGAAACAAAACAAATCAGAGGAAAAATGAAGCAAATTGGAGGAGAGAGAGAGAGCAAAATGGTAGAGAAAGATAGTGAAAACTAGAGGAGAGGGAGCAAAATCGGAGGAGAGAAACACACTTTCAGAAAGAGAGAAAAAATTGAATATTTTTTATTTAATTTTATTTTTTGTTTAATAATAGAAGGATAAAATAGATATTATATATTTAAGAGTGTATATTTAAAGTAAAATTATTTTTTTTTTTAGATGAGGGTGGTCATTGAAGTCCATATAGCATTTAACGGTATTTTTGATAAACCCCCATCTGGGGGAATAGTTTGCGTTAAAAATATGAACTTTCTTGGAAACCGAAAGAACAATAGTTATAAAGATAGTGTCACTTGTCGATAATAGTTGATGTGATTTGGTAAATTTCGATATTTTCGATGATTCGTTCGAAGTTTGTTTAGTAAATTGGAGATTTTTATGGATTAGGGTTAGATGGAAATTTGAGAAGTTTTGATGCCCTCTATAATTCAGATTTCAAATTTCATTTGCGAAATATTTAGATTCATTAGATGATATAATTTTTACCTTATTTGGTAACCAACACATTTCTAGTATGTTTATATATATATATATAATATATATATATAACTTTCCTAAAACAAGATTAAATTGAAAAAAACACCCTAAAAGCAAAAAATGATACATAAAAAAAAATTTTAAAACCACTGTAAAATCAGTGTTAGAGACAGAGACGAGACGACTTAGGGTTTTCAAAGGCAAGGATATGGGCGTTACCACTTTTACAGGCGGTTAAGTCCACGCGTTCTTTACCTGTTTCTAAAAAAAGTATCGCACTTTTACGTTCATCAGTACTGTTTCTAACCGTTGGATTCACCAATTCTATTATTTGAGGTCATTAGACGGTCATGATTACTTACCTGCTTAGTTACACCCCAAGGGCTAATTGTGCACGCACTTCTAGATGATTTTCACTGTTTGGCTAATTATTTATACACCCATCATTTTGCAAAAAAAAAATAAAAAAATAAAAAAAAATAGTCCAACACATGATTAAACTTTGAACATATATATTATTTCAAATTCTTTAAGATTAATAGATTCAACCATCTAGTATATGTGTTTGTGTATATATATTATATATGTGTGTGTGTCCAAAAATGTTGGGACCCCGTGAATGTAGAAGCACAGTGGTCGTGGTTGCGGTTCGGCCATAGTTGCAGTGAACATCAAATTGGGGTATACAAAATTTACACACAAAAAAAATGTAAAAAAAAATATCTGTGTTCTCTTTAATCAATCTCTGCACACTTTATCCTTGTAAACTTAATTTTGCACCTCACGATCTCTCACGGAGGAAAAAAGTTCACAAACATTTTTAAAAAATAAATACAAAATTGTGAACCGAACCAAACTAAACCGGATTGAAGTTGAAACGTAACCTACCCATTGATCCATTGCAAAGTCATAGCCAGAGATTTGTACATATCGTCACTAGAAACGTAACATGGATCATCTTCTTTCGACCCATATTATCGCATTTCAAAACCATGTTCTCAAACCTAAATAACAAAACACCCCTTTCTCATAAATCTCAACTACACATCATTAGATACACCATTCAAATATGTATAAGCATTCAAGAGCTAATATATATATATATATATATATTTGTACTCTACTTCGTGTTTTTGGGCTGTTTTTATAATGTGTGTTTTTATTCTGCTTTTTTTTGTTTGTTTTCATGGAAACAGTTTGTTGGACATATTCATATAAAATCTGATGGGTTAATTTAGACAGATTAGTTGCTATATGGAAAAAAAAAAAAAAAGCGAATTAAGATCAGGCAACCAAAATCTTTATATGACCAAGCATCTACTTTTATTGCCATAAAGTAATTCGTTGTTATTTATGTAGTTACAAAAATGAGACCAAACAACAAGGGATCCGTGGCGCAATGGTAGCGCGTCTGACTCCAGATCAGAAGGTTGCGTGTTCGATTCACGTCGGGTTCAATCCCCCCTCTTTTTTTTTTTTCTTTCTGGCCAGTGGGTTTTCATTTGCTCGTCCTGATTTCCATGGCTGATTTCCGCACTGCAACATGTTCTGTGGTACTTTCTAACATGAGAAACCGAAGCTTCAAATTCTAAGGAAGTTCACCCGTGTTTCGGAATTCGGTTGCCATGTTTTGTAAATATTACGTCTTCCAGCAATCTGGCACTGTCTCTGGATCATTTTACCTTTCAGACAATGCAAGAAGAATGGTTTAAAAACCAAAAATCTGATTACGACTTCTGTTACAGATCCGTATTATTTTGATGGGTCCAATCCGAATTTGATTAATGATTACAGCGAAATGATCTTACGCATGAAATCCGTAAACGGTGAGCAGATTTATCTCAAGCCATGCAATGGTTATGTGACATCCTCTGGCTGAAACAGAAGTTCTGGAAAACTTGGTTTGATGCAAAATGTCAGCGATATCATTCTCCTAAGTATTTTGAAAACATCATATAAAAGAAACCGGAAAAAAAACCGATCCTAAACCGAGGATGAACCAGAAACTTGGCTATTCAATTTCGGTTCGAGGGTTTGCTTTAGTGTATTTTCATATAACATGACAGTAGATATTTTATTATATAGAATGAAAATTATCGCACGTTAATTTAATTTAAGGCGATAGGATTCGAAATATTATACTGCTTTCTGAGCATTTTCGGTTTGCAATCAATGGAGGAAACCCTTCCCCTTCAGGCTCTCCACTGTCTCCTGGATGCTAACCTTCAAGGGAATGTAGTCAATGCCGAGGCTCTTCGCTCTCTCCTTTGAAACTTGGTACGTCGGCACGTACGGCTTCTCGTCCGCACACCTACCATTACAAGATGGAATTTGGTTAATAACCGAGTAACTAAACCGATGTAAACCAAACAACATATAACTGTAACTGAACCAAATCCGATATGAAAACCGAATAGTTATGATTTCTCCAAAACCAAACATGAACCAAACCAAATAAAAAAATAACCGAAAATTTCTTTCAAAAATAAAATTTTTTATCAATAAAATCGAATCTGTACCGAACCCGAACCAAACCGAAATCAACATAAAACCTAAATGGTTATAGTTTTTCTAAAACCAAAGAAACCCGACACGACCAAAGCTCACCACTTTCTCCATGCCCATGTAATAACCCTTTTTCGAATAAGAAAAACACAGAAGTGTGTGGTAACTGGTAAGCAAGGTGTTTTTGTGTATTCGGAAACTTACTTTTCGGGGAGTTGGAGATTCGGGAAGAGCTCCCGAAGAATGTTCACGACCTCGGAATGGTGAGCTACGCTCTCCACAAGACAGTAACGGCCATTGGCAGAAGGGTTTTCAAAGGCAAGGATATGGGCATTGGCCACATCCTTCACGTTCACCCATCCGAAACTTGAGTTGGGAAACGTCTTTGTTCCTGCAAGAACCAAAACGAAAGGTTCGATTTTCTTGGGAATGAGGCGATGTTGTTGTTGTTGTTTTCGTAAGGTATCATGTATGACGAAATGAGGTTTTTTCCCCGGGTTTTAAAAAGAGTTGTCACCGTTTATTAAGCTGGATATAGCAGCAGCACTGGTGTTGAGAGTTGGCTGCAAGAGAGGACCGATCACCATTGCAGGGTTTATGGTGACAATGTCGATGCCTTTCTCCTTAGCGTACTTCCACGCAGCTTCTTCCGCCAAGGTCTTCGAGAGTATGTACCACATCTAATTGCGACGACACAAGCAAAAAAACAACTGTAATCAAGCCCACGTCCAGTACCGATGTTTTGCTCAGCAGTTTTGCCTAACGAGGTAACTACCAATCATGAAGTAAACATACTGAATGTTTAGCATGGTTTCTCTAACAATCTGAAACAGAAGTGGGTATTGTTCGCTTTATGGGCCATCAAACCATAATGCAGAATGCATAAACTTATGATAAATGAACCTAAATCAAGAAGATATCCAATTCCTAAGACGGACCAACCTTTGATGCCTTGCAGACCTCAGGATCCGAAAACCAAGTCTCGTCGACCATTACATCGGGAGTGCGAGGTTTTCCATTGTAAGCAACCGCCGCCATGGAAGATGTTACAACAACTCGTTTGACAGTAGAGGTCTTTGAGCACGAGTTCAAAACATTAAGCGTTCCCTTTACAGCAGGGTCGATAAGTTCAGCCTGAAGAACAAGGGGAAGAAGGTTCAAGAACGAATTCAAAGTTCACATCTGAAGAAAAAAAAGAAACCTATGATTATGAACCTGCGGGTCTTTGACGTCGTGATAAAAGGGAGAAGCCGTGTGGAAAACGCCTTCACATCCATCAACAGCCGAGTCAAAGGATCCATCTTCCAAAAGGTTTGCTTTGAACAGATGGAGTCTTTCACTAGCACCTTCCAGAGAAAGCAAGTGCTCCGTCTTTTTCGGGTCATCTGCATATATACAGTGAATTGTATCACCACAGACAGACATTCAAGACAAAGTTCAAACATTTTGTATCGAGGATTCTCTTTCGAGTTCAAGTGGGTTTTCGGTATTGGGAAAAACCCGGATTCTAAAACCGAGTCTCGTAGATGCGAACACAGAGAAAGTTAACTTACATCATTTCACCAGCAAAAGAACTATATCACAGTAAATTCAAACACACCTCAAAGTGAATGAGAGACAGAAACTATAGACTTACGGCTAAACTATCCACCTAACCTTCACAACGCCATAAAAGAACTATATCACCACAAAACCAGACATACATCTAAGAATCTAAGAGACCTTATACTATACAACCATATTAAAGAAGAACCCATCCAATATCCACAACGTATTCAAATCCAATTAGGGGTCGAACATAGAGGCCAAAAACACAACATTAAAGAGACAAAACAATCAGCCCTTCAAGCTCAGCCAGTGATCCGATTCAAAGCTTGGCCTCTAATCATAAACCCTTTATTTCAATAATACTAAGCTTAACATGAAGAGACGAGATTTTAGTACCATCAAACTAATATGACAAAATGCTCAGTTTCTCTGTCAAGATTATCCAACATTTTACAAAGCAATATCTCAAGAACTCCAACAAAAGCACAGGATTTCACCAAAATGGGCGACATCTGATAATTCTTGAAAACTCACAAGAAATGCAAGGAGAACCACAAAGACAAGGTACACTCAAGAGGGAAGACCAAACCCACAAAGAGTAAAATGCCCAAATTCTCTGTTCAGAGAACTGAACATTTTTATAAAAAAAAAAACATTTTCCAGAGTAAAGTATGCAGATTTTCAGCAAAAATCAGAAAATTCAACAAATCACTGAAATGGGCAACTTTCAATTAACAAGATAATTGTCCAAACTTCACCAGAAATGCCCAGCAATCAACAAAGAACATGGAAGAGGAAAGGCAAAAAATTTTAAAAAAAAAACGAGAAAAGAGGAAAAGAGAATCTGGGAACAGAACTGGGATCTCGAACAGAGGCCTTGACGGTGTAACCACGGAGGAGAAGGAACTTCACGACCCACGACGCTATGTAACCCGACGCTCCCGTCACGCACACCACCTTTCCCATTCTCTCCCGAATCGCCTTCTTCTTCTTCTTCTTTTTTTGTTTGCGGCTATGGTGGGTTTTTTTTTTGTTTCCTCTGCTTATTTTTTATAATATATGATTATATGATTATAAATATAACGTATGAATTTACGAGACATTTAAGCCTTTTAGGTTTATTTTGTGGTTGGCCAGTAATTAATGTCGGCCCATAAAGGGTACGGCTATGGTTGTTGACCATTCAGAAAATATTAGGTGCATGGATCAAAGAATTCAAAATATTTTTAGAAAAAAAAAGAAAAGGGAAATAACAAAAATGGAATCTTGATTCACGAGACATGCAATTATTCGTATTCCATCACTACTCGGACCATATTTTAAATTTTTATGTTAACAAATCCAAAAAAAAAATTGAATTTGAATTTCAGTTTTGTTCCATTAGAATATATGAAATATTTGTTGTCCGTTCTTAGTCTGCATTAAAAAAAAATTAAATTCATGGATTCATCCCTGAATGTTCTTTTCGATTATTTTGTTACGAAATAAAGGAAATTGCAAGGATTTTCAACTAAGATTGATGCAAAATCTTGATTTCTCTTGAAAATAATACCCAATATATTAATTAAAAATTATAAATCTTTTTTTTTAAAATCTCGATTCGAATACAAACCCGTCCCTACCATTTTGGAATCTCAGAAATCCACGTGTACAAAATCTTAATAATTGAAGCATTCGGATGCTGTTTCATATGCTGAAATATAGTCTCGGGTCCTAAAATAAAATGACATTAACTCGGAAAATTGAATACGACTTTGCAACCTATTACATGATAAAAACATGACACAACAGGAAAAAAAGAAGAAGAGAAAATGTCTCATACACATATATAAACTTACACACATATTAATGTTTATACATACACTGATACACACATATAAACATATACACATGCTTATACATACATATATACATATATATATGGTTGTACGAATAGATATAGACATTATAAGCTTATACACATATACATATTGGTATACACATACACACGCTTATACACAAATATATACATACAAATATACGCGTATAAGCATATATATATTTGTCTGTGTTTATGCGTGTTTCCTCCATATATATATATATGTGCGTACAGTGTATATATAATAATGTATACATACTTATACACACGTAGATATATACAAATGTATACATACATATACGCATATATATACTTGGTTATACAAATAACACACTTATGCAAGGCTATACACAGACATATAAATGTGTCTAGGCATATATCTATCTATGACTATGTCTATGTATAAGCATGCATATATGATATAAATGTAAAATTATATATGCACATATATATATATATATATATATGAATAAGCAGCAGGATGTATATAAATATGTAGGAGAAGTCTCCAACTCAATTAGAAAATGACAATTCTCTCTATAATTGTGTCGGTTCTTATTGAGGTATGAACTTCCTCTGAACCGCACTTTCGACTAATTTATCATGTTCCGTATGGTTTGTCGGTTATTGTATAGAGTCGAAAATTTACTATCCGAGATATCATCTGACCAGCGGGGTCTGCCGATGTCCGGCCCGAAGGACGGATCGATGGTTCCCCACCGTTATCGAAAAAAATTATATAACTATTATATATATGTGTATATATATCAACAGAAGTATTTGATTTTATTCGGATTCTGATTCTTATTCTCTATTCGTGAATGAAGGAGAGGTCCCCACCAAGAAAAAAATAAAATAAAAAATAAAAACCCTTAAACCAATCTGTGTGCTCTGAGCCTCTGACCTTCTTCTGCATTCAAACGACCGCCCACCAAACCGCAAGGTCAGACGCGACCCAGAACTCTCATCAGAGAGAGCAGCAGAGGACTTACCCAAAAAACATTCTACGAATCGAGAATCTCTGTCTCTTTCTCTTTTCCCCTCTCGGCCATCGAACAAAACCCATCAATGGCGATCGCCTACTGCTTCTTTTCGACCCCAAATCCGAACCTATCAGTCTCCGTTCCCAATCCCACGCGCCGACGCAACCTCACTCTCTCCCCTGTTCTCTCTCTGAACCTCTCTTCGTCCTCCTCCCTCTCTTCCTCCGCCGCACCCATCTCCCTCTGCCGCCGCAACTTCCCATCCCCTGTCTTCTCCGCCTCCATCGACAACGGCGGCTCCGATGACCACAATAATGGAAACCACGGCGGCGGCGGCGGTGGCGGAAACAACGGGGATGGCAAGGGCGGGGAGGACAGGGAGAGGAACAAGAAGGAGGCGATGATGGTTCTGTCGGAGGTTGGGTTCCGTCTGGAGAATCTGCCGAAGGATCTGGCTGCTGCGATCGAGTCGGGTCGGATTCCCGGATCGGTTGTGACCCGGTTTCTGGAGCTCCAGAGATCTGCGTTGGTGCGGTGGTTGATGCAGTTTGGTGGGTTCAGGGAAAGACTTTTGGCCGATGATCTCTTCTTGGCTAAGGTCGCCATGGAATGTGGTGTTGGTGTCTTCACCAAGGTTAGCTTCTCCATTTTCGGATAATTTCACTGAAAGTTTGGATTTTTCTTCTGCCTTCCAATGGATGATTTTTCATTGTTTTTTCTTTTTCATGGAGAATATGTCTTGTCTGACATAATTTGATGCTTTTTGGTCACTTCACTGTTCAAGTTGATGAGATTGAACAGAAATGGATGATGAGTAATGGCGTGCTGATTCTAGAACGTTTTGGAATCTGGATTTGATGCTATGCCTTCTAATTTATGCTGACTACAATTTTCAATTCATGTGTTCATATAGTTTGTTCTTCATCAGTTAAAAAGTTTGGATTTTTATAGCTCTTATGGATCCATTTCATATCTCCAGACAGCTGCAGAATATGAACGCCGGAGAGACAATTTCTTCAACGAACTCGAAGTTGTTTTCGCCGATGTGGTAACGACCCTTTTCCCCATTGTTCTTGTTTTTGAGAAGTGTGGCAGTTAGTTTCATTTCAGACATGGAAATGGACTGAAAGTGACTCAACATCAATGTTTGCAAGTGCATTAGAATACAATGCATTTTATTGCAAATAAGATGTTTGACCTGACTGTGCGGTTTTGGAGAGAGGGAAGGGTCGGTTGAAAAAAATATCTGGAATAAGAAAACAAAGTTGGTAGACTTTACATGTTGGACCATTCTTTATTTCAATGTGTGATGTAAGAATCTATAGAAATTTAAGAGTTGGTGACTGTCATTGATTGATGATGACCCTTCAGACAAAGGAAGAGTTGGTTAGTTTACTCTGTGCTCTGTGGTGGTAAATGTAATGGGACTGAGAATGAGATTTCTGGCCATTAGGTAGCCGGAAAACTAGTAATGGAAGATGCGATATTCTCTTGATCTCCAAGTGAAAACAAGAACAAGCTCGGTATAATTAATTATTGTTTTGTAATTCTCTCGTCCGAGTTCATATGTCTAAGTTTACGGGACGTTATATTTGTTTATGACGAACATTATCGATTAACTTGAAGTGAAAATGACGAGGAAATACACTCTGATGTCGCGTAACTGGTCTCGCCTCTCGATGAGACCGAGGTTAAGCTTGGTTTTGGGTTCATTAGGGTTTTTTTTGTGAGAGTACCGGATGGTTTTTGTGGTGTTAGGTGATGGCTATCATCGCGGATTTCATGTTGGTGTATCTTCCGGCACCTACTGTTTCACTACGTCCGCCTCTTGCCCTTAATGCTGGACGGATATCAAAGTTCTTCCACAGCTGCCCAGATAACGCTTTCCAGGTCTCGGTTTTTTCGTAAATTCAATTGTTCCAGAAGATTCCGGAAGGATTTCTTGAAGGCTTTATGGAAAGCACTGATGGTTCTTCTGTGCAGGTTGCTCTCTCTGGTACCTCATACACTCTGTTGCAAAGGATAGGTGCTATATTGGTGGGTGAAATTTTCTTCTTTCTTTTAAACGGGTCTCGTTATTACCTAAAACGTGATTTAGGCTTTTAGAGACGTAAACATGAATATGGGTTTTGTCTGTTAATGCAGCGTAACGGGGCTAAACTGTTTGCTGTTGGAACGACTTCGTCGCTGGTAAGTCCAAATATATCTGTCTGAAAATCTTTCATTAACGATCTTTCTCGGGTTCATCTGTGCATTCAAAAAGCCGTTTCTGAATCAGTGGACCTTTCTCATTGCTGCTTAGGTTGGTACCGCCATAACGAACGCTTTGATCAAAGCACGACAAGCCGTGGACTCTGAAGCCGAAGTAGAGAATGTCCCGATACTCGAGACAAGCGTAGCCTACGGTGTGTATATGGCAGTTTCCAGCAACCTCAGGTAATTTTCTTCATCCTATCCTCAATCTTTCCCATGGAACGTATCGGAAATGGAACAAAGAATCCGATGTAAAGTTTCTTACTTTCCGACTCGGAGAAAAAGACCCGCTTTTTTTACATACGACCCAGTCGGGTAATTCAGTTAACGTGCTTCATAACAGGTACCAGTTATTGGCCGGTGTGATCGAACAACGTCTGCTGGAGCCATTGCTGCACCAACAAAAACTCGCACTTAGTGCTATGTGTTTTGCCGTTAGAACTGGCAACACATTCTTGGGTTCGCTATTGTGAGTTGTCGGAACCAAAACCCGATTTTTTCGTTTACCCGTTTTTTCGTCTTCTGTCGTGGTTTTGAGTCCTGGTTTTTGTTTGTTTTTTTGTCTTAATGTGTTGCAGGTGGGTAGATTACGCTCGCTGGATCGGTATCCAGAAATCTCACTGAGGAGTGATGATATAAAAAAGAAAAGCATTGTGGGCATGAAAGAATCCTGAACCGGAAAGCCAAACCCGGTTCGATTTCGCCCTGCTTTATTTATATGACAAGCAGCTGTTAAGGTTTTTACAATGCTGCTTTGGAACCGAAATTGTTCTAATTTTCAGCCGAATCGATTTCTTTTTTGTGGGGTTTTGGTTCTTTGAAAATCAGTCGATTTTTCTAAACAGATAAGATTCCGCTTAATCTGAGTGTTCATGTCGATTTTTTCGAATACGATTGATCCTAATTTATGGATCTTTCGGTTCGAGGATGTTGTCATTCAATTCGGTTATATATATAGTTAGGGGTGAGCACGAGCGCCTGAGCATTCGAGTCGAGTAGTCGAAGGGGGTGACAACGATGGCGAGAAGCCGACTTTCAAATCTGGATCTAGAATTTGGCCGATGATTACCCGTATCTACGGGCATTCAAGCTATGTGAATGGGTTGATTAAGATCTGAACCAAACTACAAACCCATTTTCAAGACTAAAGCACTTGTATTCTGTCTAACTTGTTGCAGAAGAAGCCTTCTTTTTTCTCTTCTTCTTTGGCTTCACTGCCTCCTTCAATGTTCTCTCTCCGTCCCTCTGTCCAGTTGCCTGAGGTGCGTCGCTAAGCACGGAACTGGACTTCATCCCTTCGGATATATCCATTGGCGAAGTCGAGCCGCCATTCCCGTCATCTCCTGAATCATTCAGCTCCTCGCTCGGGATTGACCGTTGCTCACCACCTAGATGGTGAGGTTTAAACACGTGAAAACCCGTGTTTAGTTCAACAAAAGACTCTGAAACCTAAGAATTCTTGGAGAAAATCGGATATGGAACGAAACAAAACATCGAAACAAAGATCATTGTTGTTGTCGGGGGCAGCAAGAAACCAGAGTTACCTCGTGAAGCGAGAGAAGCTTTAACAGAATCAACGTCTACACCTTCCGAGTACGGGTCCCTGGAATTCATCCAGTTAATGTATAAAGTTAAGGAATATACGGAAATAGTAAACACGAAAGCCAAAGAAGCTTTCAGAATGTTCAAATGCGTGAGTAGCAGCATACTCAATAACGTTGATGATTTCAGCTCGAATACGAAAAACGGAGAATATGAAGCCAAAACTTACCAGCTCGAGGGTCTGCCGATGAAATTGCTAGGAGCTGCTTGATGTTCCTTATTAGCATCTCTGAGTTTCGAAGATTCATCATCACATTTCGGTCCGCCGCTGACCCCTGGAGAGAGCTCGTGTTCGGAAGATTCCTTGTGAACCTCTTTCAGAGCTACGGTCGGTCCAGAAGTTGTAGATTTAGCGGAGGTAGAATGGCGCTTGACCTTTTGTAAGGCCCTCTCACGGTTATATGCTTCGACCTACATCACAAGACAATGAAGCCACCATTAATTTGTTTATCAACCCTCAGTACACAGCAAAAGGAAAAGCTGGCAATGATCATTAGACAGATTGAATATGCACCACAGCAAAGCAACTCAAGTCTGGTTTCACTATGAAGCTCCATTAAAGACTAATCTTTATAATATCATAATCAATATACCACGGTGAAGAAACAAATGGGAGAACCCGAATGCAGTTGCAGGTCAAAAGATACTGAAGATGGCATAAATTTTCTTCAAATTTGTTTTGAAAAAAAAAATCAGATATTATGAAGAAAATTTAAACAGGTTGGATAAAAAGGACCTCACTGCATCTTTTATCGTCTTTGTTGTTGCGGCAGCTCTAGAAGAAGCAAGCCGGAGGCAATGAAGAATAACACTCTGTGAAACTCCTTCTCCCGGTTTTTGGATAGCACAAATATCGCCGTTTGCATTAACTGTGACCGTCATTCTGCCACCCATAACAGCCTCCTCGATGTAAGTTGGGTCCATAACCTGTGGTATGCATCAGATCTTCGGAATAAATCACTGAAACAAAAAGCAGTAGACTTGATTTTTATATGCCAAAGAACTTGCCAAGATGTTCCCTTCACTAAAAAACCCAAAAGTGAAGGCTATCGGGAGATGGTGTATTATCAGTGGAAGTGGTTCCCTTTCCTACAAAAAAAAACAAAAAAAGCAAAGCAAAGGGCACACATTATAATATCAAACTCAAAAGACGGAACATGCAATCAACGAAACGAACTTCCTTACAAACTTAAACAAATCTTTGGGGCAACCTTATATACTTAAGAGTGCACTAAAACAGATAATGCTGACCTCAGGCTCGTGTATTATAACTTCCTGACCGTTCTCGCCTCCTAATGTGCACTCAGGCCTCCTGAATGTCAATAGTGCAGCTAAGGCAGCAATATTTGCAGCATCAACCAAGTTTCTGTGACAGAATTGAGCAATGAAAAACAGATGAAAATCAAAATAAAAGACAGGAAAAACAGAAAATGTATAGAAGCACTAACTCGAAAGAATCGTAGGGACAATATAACGTACCCTCCATTGTCCAAAATGTGAAGATCGATACGGACAGCCCAAGCCAACTTCCCAGATAGAACACAAAGTGACTCAGTATCCACAGCACGACTTTCTCTGCGATTAATACAGAACAATCACAACCAAACAGAAGATTTAGACTTTTCGGTATTAATAAGATGATTCAGGGGTAATTTACCTTAGACCACGATCTATGATGCGACCTAGCTCCACGGCAGATTCGCTAGGACGACCTGGCTCAAAAGATGGATCAGCCATTGGAGAAAACTCCGTGAAGATAGAGAGCGACCCTTCATTAGGTCTGTCTTTATAAGGTTGCACCAACTGAGCAGTCACCAAACCCATTACATGAGTTTGACCGAGTTGCACTTCTGAGGACCCATAGTCCCTGTTAATTCACATATAGAGCCACCTTTGGGTTATTGAATATCATATCAAACCCAGAGCACAAATGAGCATAAAACCAAGCAACTATCAGAGCTCCCAAACTAGTAAATCACTACAATGAACAAACAAAAGGTTAAATTAACAAGGAGAAAGGTTATACCACATAAGAAAATTACATGTACATATTATATGTTTTCAGTTTTATGTCATACAAACAAATACATAAACGCATAGATGCACAAGATTATGAAATACGAACATGTTAAGATTCACAAGCCAAGGCAACTTGGGAGTTCCACATCGGGTAAAAGAGGTTTTGATGTGGGGCTTATAAGGCTCCTTAGGCACCCACCCACCCTCTACAAGCTAACTTTTACGGGTGAATTCTGCCTAGATGGTTCTTATAAGAACAGCACACAACATACATCTTTGGTTAGAAGCAGCATATAGTTTAGCAATGAAAATTTAAGAATGTACATTGAAAATCAATTACCCTTCAGGCAACTATGTGTGGAAAAACACATCAACACACACAACACGTAAGTCGAATAAATGAATGCGAAGGGGTAGAGAACTAACTTGCCAAATTTAATAGTGAGCTTGCGGTAATCATAAAGCCCACGGCCATCAACTCTGAGCTCAGACTGCAATGCAGTTTCAACAAATTTCTTCTCATTTACTGTCAACCTCCACGTATTAGCCAACCTCCCTTCCATTCTTTTGGTGGCTTTTTTTCTCAATGCCCAACTGGAGTATGAGCATGAAAAAAATATGAAAACCTTATACATTCAACCACACTTCCTCATGCCCATATACAAGAAACGTATAATAAGTCAAGTCAAAAAAGCAGAGGAAGGAAAAGATGATTCTAAACCCAGAAATTGAGAACATGAAATGGTCTTGATTTAGCGGAATCAATAAAGAACAACAGCATTTTGTCGGCATACCTTCCTAATGCCAGGCAATGGAAAATGAAAACTAGTCATGTCGCTATAATTCGAAGCAAAACACACCTCCAACCTCAGGCAATTAACCCACATCCCTCCAGAAGATCAAATTAGCTCCACTTGTTCAGACAGACATTGATAAACGAAACAACCCTTGCTTAGTCCAACTTATACGGACCGAAAATGGTACAGTTTTGACACAAATCACACAAACAAGTTTGCCAGTTCTTCAAGTTTCCAACATCAACTAAAAAACTCTCATCAACAACAAAAAAAAGCTCGCTTTCTCTTTCAGGGTTTAGTTGACCAATTTACCTTACCGAACACTTAATTTGCAAGACCCAGAACTGCGAAGCTCAGAGGCTGGCCGGTCTCACTGAGGCCAGAAAATTGCCGGAAAAGACGGAACCAAAGGAAAATTAGCAATGCAGAGAGACAACTTACCGTTACAGTGAGATGGCGGTACGGGCGCGAAAATCGGTGACAGAGGCAAGCGAGGAAGACTAAGAGAGCTCGGAGAAGGGTTTTTAGAAACCCTGAATCGACATCGGCGACCGTCATTAGAAGAGAGACCTAGGTCTTCTTGTTGCACCTAACTCCTTGTGTTATTCAGTAATTCTATTTTGGCCCTAAAGTATTAAATAAACAAAAACACCCAATCCTCAATTTTATATCTGAATTTTCGAAAGGATCAAAAGGAACCCTCAAAATAAACACAAATCAATTATAGTTTTAGCGTGTAAAGATAAAAACAAAAACAAAAAAAAACGATATTTATTGTTTAAATATAATATGTATATTACCATCACACATGGTGCTACCTAAGACACCACAAATTAGGGTGGATGTCTTGATACTATTTTTTAGAATTGAGCTGTACCGAACCGAAAAATGTAATATTTTTTTTATCAAAACAAATTTTAAAAAAATTCAAAAAATTAATTTTTTAAAAATATCTATATTAAATCGAACCGAACCGAATATAATATAATAGTCGATTGATATATGTTTTTGTAAAACTGAAAGAATCGAATCTAACCGTTCTTGAACTGAATCCGAACTGACTAGAAATGCTGACATCTCTCAATTTTATTGTGTTTTTAACTTACTTCAAACAGTTTAAATTTTAAAACGTCATTCTACAAATGTTACGGTAGACGCAAATTTAAGAAGACCCATTTCAAGTATCCATTCTAAGCTAAGGTGAGTAAACGAGTTTTCATGTCACTTCCTGTCCTCATTACAATAATATTTGTAATATGGCATAAATCCTTTAGTTTATGAATCTTTTAGTAAATATGAAACCCTTTTATATGAATATATTAGAATAATAATATATAGTCTAACATTATTAAAATATAAAAATTTGACGACAATGAAAACCTCCACTGAAAATTTCATAACACAAATTTTTAAAAATGCTAGTTTGATAATTTCCAAAATTGTGGCTTGAACATTTTAAAAAAAAAATGGTGACTTGTTTGGTTTAAAGAGGTGCATAATTGAAAAGAAAAAAAATTGCATTCACCAAATGTTAGATTGATATGTGGGTTCGATTTAAGAATACCATTAATTGGGCTTTTGCTTTTTGTATATTAAAGCTCAGTGTTATTTAAATGGCCCAAATCTTTTAAATTGTATGAGGGCCCATAAAAAAACCCTAATTCCCTAACCAGTTCAGTGGCATACAAAAACCCTCCCTTATTTCTATCCCTTCAGCAGCCACAGCCAAAGGCGCGAGCTTTCTGCCAAAAAAAAAACCCTAGAGACCACCGAGAATAACCATGAAGGTGAGTAAACGAGTTTTCATGTCACTTCCTGTCCTCATTACAATAATATTTGTAATATGGCATAAATCCTTTAGTTTATGAATCTTTTAGTAAATATGAAACCCTTTTATATGAATATATTAGAATAATAATATATAGTCTAACATTATTAAAATATAAAAATTTGACGACAATGAAAACCTCCACTGAAAATTTCATAACACAAATTTTTAAAAATGCTAGTTTGATAATTTCCAAAATTGTGGCTTGAACATTTTAAAAAAAAAATGGTGACTTGTTTGGTTTAAAGAGGTGCATAATTGAAAAGAAAAAAAATTGCATTCACCAAATGTTAGATTGATATGTGGGTTCGATTTAAGAATACCATTAATTGGGCTTTTGCTTTTTGTATATTAAAGCTCAGTGTTATTTAAATGGCCCAAATCTTTTAAATTGTATGAGGGCCCATAAAAAAACCCTAATTCCCTAACCAGTTCAGTGGCATACAAAAACCCTCCCTTATTTCTATCCCTTCAGCAGCCACAGCCAAAGGCGCGAGCTTTCTGCCAAAAAAAAAACCCTAGAGACCACCGAGAATAACCATGGCAGACACAGGAGCAGCCCCAGCAGCCGCAGCACCGGAGAGAGGAGGCTTCCGTCGTGGGTTCGGCGGAGGACGTGGAGGACGTGGTGGCCGTCGCCGTGCGAGGAAGGACGAGGAAGAGAAGTGGGTTCCAGTGACGAAGCTCGGTCGTCTCGTCCGAGAAGGTAAAATCCGATCCATTGAGCAGATCTATCTCCATTCTCTTCCCATCAAGGAGTACCAGATCGTCGATCTCCTCATTGGACCCTCGTTGAAAGACGAGGTGATGAAGATCACACCGGTGCAGAAGCAGACTCGTGCCGGTCAGAGAACCCGTTTCAAGGCCTTCGTCGTCGTCGGAGACGGGAACGGTCACGTGGGTCTCGGCGTTAAATGTGCGAAGGAGGTCGCGACCGCCATTCGTGGTGCGATCATATTGGCTAAGCTTTCCGTGATTCCTGTGAGGAGAGGTTACTGGGGAAACAAGATCGGAAAGCCTCACACTGTGCCGTGTAAGGTCACAGGTAAATGTGGGTCGGTTACAGTTCGTATGGTTCCGGCACCGAGAGGAGCCGGGATTGTGGCCGCTAGGGTTCCGAAAAAGGTTCTTCAGTTTGCTGGGATCGATGATGTGTTTACCTCTTCCAGAGGCTCCACGAAAACTCTTGGAAATTTCGTCAAGGTATAGCCTTTTTTGGATATTGTTGCCTAAATATTCGTTTTGTGGTTATTTTTGCTTGATTTATATTGTGTTTAGGGATCTTTTTTACTTAATATTCGTAGTATTTTGTGGTCTATCCTCCACTTTATATGCCCTTTGCAGGACTGTGTATTGATTCTTTGTGTGTTTGATCGATTCGACGTTGTTAACATGTAATTATTCCATCATGTTTAGGCATGCTTTTGTTTGTGCTTGGATACAATGTTCAAACGTTTGCATTAGCTGTTTGTTGATATTTGCATGCTGGTCTTACAATCACGTTTGGGTATTGGTGTTGAATCATGTTCATATATGGTGATGCATACATCTTTGTATGTGTTTCTGAATAATAGTTCCTGTCTTGTGCTTGTTAATGGTTATATTTTTGTAGTTTCTTAACGGTGACTTTTTCATGATAAATCAGTGTAGTGTAGTGCTCATGTTACCATGATTCTGTTCTTGTCTCTGCATATTGTAGCAAAATGGTATTCTACCCTTTTGAGGCCACAATATCTGAGCTCTAGTTGCTGGGACTGTTAATAATCATTCCTCATAAGAATGAAACTTCTTTTTGGCATCCAAATTAGATACATATGTTTGGGTTTTTGATGTGTTTTTCTTGAAGTTTCACATAATATTGTGTTTAAGCCAATTGGTTTCATCAATTCAAATATTATCGGTGATCCTTTTTGTTTCTCTGCTAGTCGAATATCAAACCACTTTCGGTGTCTTGTGCAAAAGTTTAAACTTTTCCCAACATAACTGTGTTTGTGTGCATGCCTCAGTTAAACTCTGTCTATATACTGTCTTGTGTATACATTCTTGACCCATTTCGTCTTGCTGTTTGGTAGGCAACCTTTGAATGTCTGATGAAAACATACGGGTTCTTGACACCGGAATTCTGGAAAGAGACGAGGTTCACAAAGTCGCCGGTTCAAGAGTACACCGATCTCTTGGCTAAACCCATCGCAAAGGCTATTATCCACGAGGACCTCGACAACGTCCCGCCCTCCTAAATCCCCCCTCCCTGTGATCGTTCTGTCCTATGCCCGTTTCTTTTTAGTTTTCTCACAAAAACGTCGGCAAGATTTTTTTTTTTTGTTCAACTTTTGACTTGGATCATTACGCAAGTTTTGCTTTGGATCTGCTTCACATTGCTTGCTTTTTTCCGTAATCAACTGTTCAATTTTTTTTTTAATATCGGTTTAATCTTACCATTGGAGATGTCAAATCATGTCGATGTCCGTGACAATGCCGTATTCTGTTATACCTTGGTTTAAAGCTACCCGTAGTTTAGGGTTTCTGTGACAGGGATAACGGTTTAAATCCATAATCAGCGAAGAAAATCATCACTGCTGTTGTTAGTGAGTGGTCTACTCTACTGGGTTCTTCACCAAGACAGGGCAAATACACGTGCGTTGCTCGTGTCTCTGCAGATCTAGCTCCAAGAGATTGGGAGTTTGCTCGTTTACTCAGTTGATTTATCGTTTTCTTCTTCACCAAGAAACCGCAACAACCATGGTTAACCTCTAATGTACAGTCTAATCGGCTGCTTCATGAAGTCAACGGATGATTTATTTTGTAGTTATTCATTAATTCCCAGATTGGTTCCGTGTGAAAATGGCAGTTCATTAAACAGAAAAAAGAGAGAAGAAACAAAGAGATCGGGTAAACAGAGAGAATCCGCCATGAGAGCACGAGGGGAGAGGAAGATCATCAAGAATCGACGAACAACATCCCATCACGATTCACGAGCTTCGACCTCACGGAATCTCGACGAAGAAGAGGATGGAAAAACCCCAGATTCGGATCCTATCCCTCTCGATCTCACCGTAGACATTCTCACAAGATTGCCGGTCAAATCTCTGGTGAGATTCCTCTGCGTGTCGAAAGGCTGGTCATCGACCATAAGTGGTCGGGATTTCGCCAACTCGTTCATGACCAGGTCGTTGACTCGGCCGCGTCTCTTGCTCACCTTCATCGCAAACAACAAGTACGTCTTCTTCTCCTTAACTCATCCTCAAAACTCGGACATGGAATCTTCTTCTGTAGCCACTTACGTCTACGACATGAACTGGTCCGTAGATTGGGCACATCCTGTTCGCGGTCTGGTCTGTGTTGGATCTCCACCTAATCTGGCAATATGTAACCCAAGCACTAACCAGTTTATAACCTTACCCAAAGTAAAAACCAGGAGGAAGGACATACACAGCTTTTTCGGGTACGATCCAATCGATGATCAATACAAAGTACTGTCAATGACGGTAGCAAAGAGACGGGAGGTAGCCGAAGAGCATCAAGTTTTGACACTGGGAACTCGAAAAACGTGGAGAATGATCGAATCCACCTTTCCTCATTGGCCACGGATAGAGGGTCTGTGCCTTAACGGGGTTCTGTATTATGGAGCTTGGTGTTTTTTGGAGACAATCAAGGAAGATGTGATAATGAGATTTGATGTTCGGTCCGAGAGATTTGATGTTATGAAAGTGCCTCAAGGCTCGAAATGGTCATGGAGTGACCATCCAACCCTAATAAGCTACAAGGGCAAGTTAGCTTGCCTTAACTATGGTGGCAGTAGTATTCATTTGTGGGTCTTGGAGGATGCCGAGAAACAGGAATGGTCGGAGATATCCTCCGTGTTTCCTCCGATATGGAATGATTCTATTTGGGACAACGAATTATCCTTTTCGGGCACCATCCGTACTGGTGAACTTGTCATGACATCTGGACGTTTTTCTTTGCCGCTCTACGTTTTCTACTGCCATATGGAGAGAAACGTTATCAAAAGAGTCGAAATCTGGGGAATTTCAGAACATAGGGTAATACGGCAATACAGCAGATGGCGTCTTAAGACCTCGGCAGATTATGTTGAAAGTATCGAGTTTCTGTAAAAACGTCCGACATTGTGTAACTTTGGGCATGTGGCCAGACTTCTTGCAAGAAATTTCAGTTTGTATTTGGACAAAGCAAAGACAAGGGTCCTTCTGTTTTTTCACAATCTCAGCACTTAAAACATTCCCTGAAACAGCAGCAAAGTACAGTTCTTGAGCTGCATGGCTATGAAAAAAACCCTAAACTTTTCAACAACAAAAAACAAACAAACAAGAACTCTTTGACATGGCTGTGGAAGAAGAAGAAGAAGAAGCTAAACCAATTGAAACCCTAAAACCCTACCTAAAAGCTAAGAGCTTCAAACACACGTGGAGAGAGAGAGAGATAATGGCTTATGATCGATCATTCTGAAGAGCACTTAGTCTTTCTGCTTCTGCCTGGTGCTCTTCAAGACACAAACCCACCCTTGTCTGGAAGAGGATCTGCTCAGTTGGCGCCTCCTAACTGCAAAGAACCTTCCCTCATCAACTTCAGGCTCAAACTGTTGAATCTTTCCCGGGAATACTGCCTCGACGCTTTCCTCCAGTCAGTCCCCGCTTTCATCATCGACACAAACTCTTCATAGCTTATCCGCCCGTCCTGATGAACAAGAAAGAAACACGATGCACCAGAAATCAGAAATGGCGTATTCCCACAGATACCCTTGATTCGTTCAGACAAACCAACAAAACAATATATATATATATATATATATATATATATATATATATGTACAACCTGGTC